ACATGTTAAACCAACAACAGCTAGTGCCTTCTCAACCAGCCAAGTGGTGATTCAATGTTATTTTTGTGCTGTACAGTGATGCTCGCTTAACAGGTGCCTCGTTTAACGACGAATCTGCATAGCGATGATTTTTTGCGATCATTTTTGCGATCGCATAACAATGTTTCTAATGGGAAAATATCGCTCTGCGATGATTGGTAAGCTGTTTTGCTTACTGATTTTCGCATAACAATGTTTTCCCAACAGCTGATCGGCGGTTCCAAAATGGCCGCCGGGTTTTAAAAAAATGGCCACTCTCTGTGTTTTCGCGCCCATTCTTCACTTACTGGGCAGCGAAAATGGCAGCCGTATGGAGGATTTTCGCATAAAGGTAATTTTTTTTTTTGCCCATAGGAACACATTAAACGGGTTTTAATGCATTCTTAGGGGCTTTTTTATTTCGCATAGCGATGAATCCATATAGCAACGATTTTGGCTGCACGGATTATTGTCGCTATGCAGGGCACCACTGTATTTTGTAGTTTATAATGTTTCTAATTTATATTGTTTAGTGTATGTTTATTTTTATATCACTTCGATGTTACTTTATTTTAATTTATTGTTGCTGATTATTGTTCTATTCTCTGTCTGAACCATCCAAATTGGCCTTGGCAGCCAGGTGGGCAGTATTAAAATTGAATGAATGAATGAATGAATGAATGAATGAATGAATGAATGAATGAATGAATGAATGAATGAATGAATGAATGTGACAGAAAGGCCAGGACTAAGGAAATCACAATCAGAAACTGGAAGCACATATGAGCATATGTGTACAGTCTACCCATTGCGCATAACTGGAGACTGGATTTGGGCATTGGCTCTTGGTTGTGACATAGAGGACTCCTTTAAAGACTCCTGTTCTGTTGCCCTAGGAGACAGCACAAGATCTAATGGACTTAACTTTAAGGAAGGCTGGATTTCAAATAAATATTAGGAGGCACACCTGTTTGGTGATGGAATCAAAGGAACAGTGCTCTTTCTCCTCCTTGGAGGTCAGTAGGTGAAACTGGGAGAAGGGTCCTCTTGGCACCAAACCTTGCCTTCCTAAGGTCTCACTCTGGCTCTCTAGACCAAAAAGTGATGCAAGCTCTCTGGTAACCAAGGAGGGAAGTCCCATGTGCCTAAGCACATGCCTGCCCCCGTCCAGGCAGAGGGGAGCAGGAAGATGGAGTGGTTGCTGGAGGCCAGGTGATGATAACATTGCCTTTGGACCCCACGCATGGGGATGCGTCCCCCAAGGCCACTTGAGAAGTGGAATGTGGCCTTTGGGCTGAAAGATGTACCCCACCTTGACTACAGAGGATGTAAAGCAACCTGTTGGGAACACTGTCACTTTCAATGTCCTGCATCAGGTTGGAGAGGGTGGATTAATTGCTCAAAAATGGAGGTTTCTAGCAGTCTGGCCTCCACACTGTAAGCTAGGGGAAGAGTTCAGCTTTTGAAAATCCAGTCCAAAAGAACACTCCTGGATCAGAGTCTTCCAGGAACAAAATGTGAAGGTGTCACACTCCAGAATTAATTGGATAAGCATTGCAGAGCACCTTGCACCCTGAAAATAATATTGTCTATTGGTGAATTGTAATGTATTATGGAGCTCCATAGAGAAGCACTTTTTCCCAAGCTGATCTTTATGTTTACAGAGCATTGAGTAAATGAACATTCTTTTATGAAGCCATTCACACAGTTCTAGAAGCCCATACTGTACCTCCAAAATGCCACTGAAAATCTTGATGAGACTACAAGAGTGGGGGAAGTCTTCACTGCATGAAGAAATTGCGGGGGTTTGCTTAAGATGCTACATCTTGTACTTAGTGATTTCCTGAGTACAAACTGCATGGGTATCGTGGCATTTCTGAATGGCTCACATATGGTGAAACTGAGGCATCTGCCTGCAAGATGCGTGGTAGACAAGAGCAGCTAGCCATGAATATTTTACAGGGAAATATCCATGTTCAAACATGTGCATGCTGTGTTCATTAAAAGAATATCTGGTTTACTGTACAGTTGGTACACAGAAATTACTTCCAAGTATGAAAATTTAATCTACTTTGAGTAATTTTTAGGGGGCGTAAGAAAATCATCTTTGTCATCAGCATCATGAAATTCCTCTGTTGGTTAAGATCCTTTTTTTTCACCCTGTTATTGCATGTGTCCATAATACAATTCTTCATTTAAAGATGTATTCTCTTTGAAGGATTATCAAAATCTGATTTTAAAACAAAGAGCAATAAGAAGAGAAAGTTGCCCATCCAAAATTAACAACTGGACAGTAGTCTGAGCAAGTGGCTTGATTATTGTTTTCTGTACTTTGATGACACGTGTTACACGACTATAGAAAAATAGCAATTATTTACATGTTTGCACTCTGATTGGGTATAGAATTTGGGAAACATTAACATCGCTATTCATGATCAACATTGAAAATTCATTGGCTGAAATTCTGCTGGTGCAGCTCTGGGCACGAAAGACTGATGGTGTCATTAGTTGTGGCTTTTTGTCACTAATTATAATTTCCCAACCCCACCCCCTACGTTCTGAGGCTCCCTAGAGATCCCTTTCATCCTTGGGAAACTTTTGGGGGCTCTGAGAAAGGGAGAATGAGTGTTTAGGGTCCAAAAATCACCACCAGAAAGATGTTAAGAGACAAAGGACATACAAAATCCAACCAGACGTCAGGCTATATCTGACTGAAACACTGTTATCATGATAGTGCCCTTCACTGCACCCGAGGACAGTAAGCTATCTCAGGGGACTCAAGCTGAACATGTGATATCTACAGGCATGTCCTCAAACACGTCAACATGGCTTCCCTCCCCAGATGTACTGCTTCCGGTGGCTGTTGAACATTGCTTCCCGGTGAGCCTGGGTCCCCAGGTTTCAGACGGGTATCTTTGCCAGCTTCATCTGAATTTGCTGACACCTTCTGCACAACAAACAGATGCTTTATCAGAGAGCTGAGTGACAGTTTTGGACTACGAGCTGCAGACCACAGCCAAGCTGGCTGAGGTGTTCTGAGAGTTGTAACTATACCAAAGTAACTTTCCAAAGTTCTGTTCTACCATTAAGCTGAAAGGATTCCTCCACCCCCAAGGCTGTCCTCCTGAAATATTATTATTATTATTGGTAGATATATGCTTTGTGGCCCAGGGAAACATATATATGTGACAGAAAATACTCATATCTGATTAAAGCTCGGGAGGAAGCAGCCTGTGCAAAAAGCAGCCATAATAATAACCCTCTCCTCTCAGACCCTCTCACCCATGTGCCCCATGTGCCCTGTTAGCTATGCCACAATTCCACATCTGGCTAGGAAAACCAGGATTTCTATCAGAAAGAATTGGCTAGCGTTGGGCAAGAGGCAGAAAGAGTTTTAGAAGAGGTAGCCCATGGTAGTTTGTGCACGCGCACCAGGCAACATCCAGAGAAACAAAACAAAAACCATGATTAGTCTTTAAGGTACCACATATGGTAGTCCTTTTTTTTTTTTTGGTATGATTTTGTTTTGTTTCTTTCGGTTTTGCCTGAGGTGGAAGGAGGTTGTTTATGGGTGAAACCTCCCAATTTGGGGGAAAGAGGCACTTTGAACGAGAAATAACGAAAACGAGGAAGCACCTAAGAGGAACTAAAGGTCACCTGGGGGCGAGCGAGAGTGGGCGGGAGAAGAAAGAGAAGCTGGAATATCTCCTCTTTCTCTCCCCCCCTCCTCTCCACCGAAAGTCCGGCCACAACTCTTGGTCTCCTGAGACTCCAGCTGTGGAGAGGACGCCGGCGACCAACTTTCCCAAGGCGGCCTTCAGCCCTGAGAGAACAACGTGCCCGGAGGAGGGAATGGGGTGGGGGAGGGGCAAAGAGAGAATTCCCCTCAGAGAGGTCGAGGGCGGGAGGCGAAGGCGTCGCGGAGGGGCGGGTTATGGGTCTGAAAGCCAAAGGAGGGCAGCGGGAGGCCGTGGCGGGAGCCGAAGAGGGGAGCCCGGGCACGAAGGGCAAGTAACGGCCGACGCCCCCACCCCCGGCAGCCCCAAAGCGGGACGCGGGCAGGGCAAGGCAGCCCGGTGGCCACAGGTGTCCGGCCCGCTGTTCCAAGAATGCCAACGCCGGAGTGTGGCGGGGAGGAACCACGTCGTCGTCCCCTCCACTCGCCCCGCAGCCTGGCTCGGAGAGGCAGCCACAATGCGCTTCCTGTGCGCAGTCGCCTGAGCTTGGTGGGTTGCCGGGGCCCGGCTGGCCTCTGGTTATCTCGGGTGAGGGGGCACAAGGCGGAACTCTGGGGAGGCCGGCCGGCGAGGGCGGGAAGAGGAACCGGGCTTGGCCCTTGCGGCGGGAGCCCGCCCAGCCACCCACCGCCCCCGGCTTCCTCTCCTTCCGCACCGTCGCCCGAGCCCTTGCCTTGCGCACTGGGGGCGGCCAGGAGGGCTCCCGGGCA